AGCGGTACCTACAGCAACTATCTGGTTTTCAGATATCGAATCCAAGACAGGTTTGGTCTCTGACACTGGGGTTTTAATCCCAACTTCCCTACTACAGGCTGCTACGGGTACCAGAAGATGGGGCCGTTGCTTCCAGAGCGGCACAAAATGCCAGCAATGTACCTGGGGCATTACTCTGAACACTGCCCAGCTCAGACAAATGAGCAGAGTTTTCCTATAGAAAGTTACCTACGATAGATTACAAGCAATAATAGTGAGTTACTTTAAAAAAAAAAAAATTAAGATTAGGAGAAGTGAGCATTGCTCCCTTGCATTTATCATTTTAAATGAAGTGCTTTTTGGCTCCCCAAAGTTTCCCACCTCTCTTGATACTTCCTGAAATTAAGTTAACATGTCACAGAATAGAAACTTCCTCCCCTCAAAAGCAAGTTTTCACACAAACCTTAGACACCAAGATGATCGAGCTGGGACCTATCTGCCTTATACCCATTTCTTTTAGAGAAAATAAAATTTCCAATTTCCTCAACATGCAAGACAAAAAATAATAAATTTTCCAGTCAACTATATATATCTCTTAAAAAAAAAAAAAAAAGAAAAAAAGAGGACAGGTCAGTAATGCGGACTGGGGGCCATTTTTGATGGGCTCAAGGGATTTGAATGGTGAATTCTAAGTCTAACCTGCATGAGAGAGACATCACAATGGGAAAGAAGAGAAAGAAAAGGTTCCTTTAAATGCAAGAGGTCTACACTGGTCACCAGTGGGCGAGTGGTCTCATTTGCGTGAGGGGGGAGGGGGCGGGGGAGGGGGCGGATACTGGTAGGTGGGCGTCTGTCCCCTCTAACACAGCGGTAGTGCTCTGTGAGGTTCTCCCAGCGGTGGCAGCTGTGGTGCTGGCACCATAGCCACTAGCACTGTACTCTGCAGTGCCATAGCCACTCGTGCCATAGGCAGCTGCTCCATAGCTCCCTTGAGTGTAACCATACTGGCTCTGTGCTGCCCCAAAAGCAGAATTTGGGCTCCCGTAGGCACTGCCATAGGTCTTGTTGGCTCCGTTGGCATAACTGTCACCACGCTCACGGTCTCTGAAGCCACCTGAGTCTCTCCGGCCCTCTTTCACTCCCCGGAGCCTCCTGTCACACTCTTCCTGGTACATCAGGTTAGGGTTGTTTACTGAACTGCTCGTTCGGTAACGAGAACGACCTCCTGGCGATGGATATATTAAGATTTAGTACCGTGAACAAGTCTTAAACAATGAACTCTGGTACAATTATGCCACCCTTTCTCCCCCTTCTACATCCACAATTTTGCCCACAAGGAGCAAGTGTTTTTGCCCGACTATAACTTCCCTGCACAGCTGTGCATACGCCTCTTCATTTTGTTAAAGGTGTAAATATGAAGTTAAAAAAGGGTTCTTAATGCATGTGCTTGGAGACAAAGAAACAGAAGAAATTGAGGACTAACTTGGAAATATAATGAAACTTACTATTCCTTCAGGGAATGGGAGAAAATAGTCTCAGTAAAGTCAGTGTATCCCTTTGCTGATTTCAATTTTGCATGTGCATGCACACACATCATTGCCTGAGCTTAGGTAGGTAGGGCGAGGAATTAATTAATTCAAGCAAAAATAACTCTGTGAGGACCTTATCGGGAGGGGGAAGAAAAAAAAGATATCTATAGCTAAGGTAAAACAGTGGACTACCTCTTTTTTGGACAGAAATACTACGTCTACATAACGTGTCGAGATCTCAGGTACAAAACAGCTTTATTACTAATCTACTGTTTGTTATCTTAGACTTACGCTTCCTACTTCCCTACCCTCTTTCAATCTTCCCTCCCTCCAAATGGGGAACCTACTCCCTGTGTAGCCCTTTTCCCATGTGCCTTTACCTCCACCACCACCTCCTCCTCCTCTGTGGTCCACAAGCTGCATCAGTTTTGGATTGATGGCTTGATTGGCTTCTTCCAACACTTTGATAAGCTCCCTGGCTTGTTTCAGGTTTCCTGGCGTGAAGAATGTGTAGGCAGTACCTTTGTTGGTACTACGTGCGGTACGGCCAATACGGTGCACGTAATCTTCAGAGCTGTTCGGATAGTCGTAGTTTATCACAAATTTAACATCTTCCACATCTTGTGAAGTGCCCAGGTGCGAAGCACAGTGAAGGGGTGGGGTTGAGGAAAGGGGAGAAGAAGAGAGGACGTGC